TGTACGGTATCGACTACTTCCTAGAATCGTTAATGTAGGACTGAGACCAGTATATGTTCAAATTTTGAGATATGCTAACGATGGCACACCACCAGAGATACTGCCGTTCTTGCATCGTGTCGATCCTGTATAGCATTTTTATAAAGACATGCTCGGCAACTATGAAAGCATTTATTTATCTTTACAATCATTGAATCTATTTTTATAATATATAAATGCTTTTATATTTTTATTAACGAATCGTTTTATTTTAAATTTTTAACTTAATTGAGTTTGATTCATTCACCATTTTTACATTTTCTTCATTCTAATTTTTATTCGGTTCCTTTTCCCACCCTTTTTATTTTATTACTAACGGTTATTATGAAACAAGATGAACAAAAAGTTGAAAAATGTATTATTTTAAATAATAAAATATGAAATGTTTAGTATCATTTCGATAAAACTTATTCAGTTCATAATTCATCAAACTCGGTTAGGAAGAAAAAATATTTCAGGTTTTAATCCATTAAAGAAATATATTTTGAGTCTCTTGATGGAAAGCATAACATTTACTACCTTTCTTCTGTCAAATTGAATTCCTTTCATTTGTAACTGAGTTCTTTCGTCTAGAATTTTGAGACAACATTTGCTTTCTATCCACTTTACAAAATTAATTCAAGCAAGAATTTGCCATATTTGATATATGAGTCTTGAATATGAAACTGAAATGCATGGGAATTATGATTCGGTGACTGCAAATACAAAAGTAACGAATGTATATTGGTATTTCTTTCCATTTTAAATGTTGTAGCAGTTGTTTTTGCCATTTTCTATTTCATTATACTCACTACAGTTACTCGTTAGATAGAAGGAAGAACTCTAAGAGATAGAGAAAGGTTTGATAGGTAGCTAGAGAAAACCTTGCTAGAGGCAAAATCATATCAACGAAAACAAAACATTTGCTGTTTAGTTCTTATTTTGATTTTATGATTCTTAAGCCTAATTTTATCATTTTGCAATTTCAGACCTTAGTATCGTACTGAAAATAAACAATTGCACAGATTGCTTCTTTGAAACCTCAATGGTTCTTTACTAACCAATCATCAATCATCGTTATTAACCAATCATCAGATATGAAAACCATGCAGCAATATATCGGAAGTTTTGTTTGATATCAGTTTCTTTAGATTCTTGCATCAAATATACTTTAATTGTTATTTTTAATATTCTAGTTTCTCTTGAAACATTACGGATGGCAAAAGTGGAGCATTCTCTTCCTAATTTAAAACCTTCAGCACCCGAGGTAACAATGTGGCTTTTACCTAACGACATCTCAAATGGAAACAGCATGATGATTTTACCCATGAACATATCACCGGTATTCTGTTTCAGAGACTGTTCATCACCGCTATTCCTTTTCAGAAACTGTTCATCACCGAAAAGTTTATCTGAAGACCTCGCACACGTCTTGGCCTGTAATCTACAATTCACAAGAATTAAAAAAAAATTCCCATTGGCAGATTTTAAACGCTCCTATTCTGAACAGTCATAGCTCAACTTCACCAGATTCTGAGTAGATAAAGATCAGATATTTGAACGCCAAATTCGCATGAAAGCTGCTATACGCTGAGTAGCTTATGATCTGCAAATTTCTGTCATGTCAGTGTTGTTGAACACAATAGAAAAGACATAAATAAACCAGTTTCCATGAAATAAACTTTTAATTTACGACAGTTCAAGTCATTAAAGATTTAGTTTATTCATTCACGTTTTCAAATGAAATGAAAAAAAATGCGATGATTATCAGATCTTTTAATTAGGTTATTTCGAGGCAGGAGAGATGAAAAATGAGAAATACCCTCGCCAGTACTCGAACCACGGACCTCTTGAATACGTGCCGAGCGTGCTGACCACTAAACCATGCTAAGAAGGCATGAGAAATACCTTATAAAGTAACCTACGGATTTTAATAATACTAATTAAAAAAGCTGTAAAAAGGTTAGTATGGGAGAAATTTTATTCATTTCATATTAAAACGATAATCTTTTTTTAAAATTATGTTGTCTTATTAATGTATACTTAAATATTATAGCAAATATGTGGAAATTCTCCCATGCATATTTTAGTTGCATTTGCGTTGTTTAATTTTCTTTTTTATACGCCCTATAAGATTGGTTTCGATATTCTCGGAAAATTTCGTATTTCTTACCTCTGCAATAATATTTGCACTTCCTTCCATTTGGCAAATTGCTTCTTACTTATTTACGATTATACACGAGAAGCAACTGTGTAAATGGAATATGAAATTGCTCTACAGTAGTTATCTTCATATTATCTCAAAGCTTTTATTTTAGTTCAAACCTTGCTTTAATTCTTACGCATTAAGTTAACATTTCCTTTTAGGGAGAAAACGTTTTGCTATTGTATCATAATTATGCAAATGAATTTAACTTCAATTAGTATTAATGTCTACAGAAAAATTATTAGAATTATGATCCAGGATTGATAAATTTATTTGTAAGGAAAATTACATTGATAATATCAGAAATCTGCTGTACTATTTCTGGCTTAAAACAGATAATTCCGGAAGAGTTGTTCTTAAATTTTTATAACTGGGCAAAAGTATTTGCTGATTTAAGCTATTAAAAATGGGAAATACATTTAGGAACTTAGATAGAATAGGAGCTTTTACCAGGGTCAGACATTTGACTTACATTTGTAAGAGCGACACTGCATAGAATCAACACTCTATAAGATAAACACTTCGTTATAAGGTATTTCTCCCGCTTTCCTAGCGTGCCTTCGTGGTGTAGTGGCTCTGCACGCTGGGCTGGTATTCCAGAGGTTCGTGGTTCGATTCCTGACGAAGGCGTTTGCTAAATTTTCATCTCCATGCGGCTTTTCCAATTAACCTAATGTCTCTACAGTGGCGTCCGAACTAAAAAGGGTTCTCCGGCTTTTCCAAAAATCCTAATGTTTCTACAGTGGCGCCCGAACTAAAAGAGTGCTGGATGAGGATTCTCCACACCCAGGATTTGGAGATTGGGTCTCCTAAAATCTCCAATCGCCCTTTAAAAAAGGCGAGTATATGAGGTATTTCTCCCTCTTTCCTTGCGTGCCTTCGTGGTGTAGTGAATCTGCACGCTGGGCTGGTATTCCAGAGGTCCGTGGTTCAATTCCCGGCGAAAGCGTTTGCTAAATTTTCATCTCTCCGGCTTTCCCAATTAACCTAATTTCTCTACATCGTAACCTGAACAAAGTTTAGAACTGATACCACGATGGATTACTAGCTCACGTTTGACATGAAAGAGAAGAAATTTTGATAATGATATAATTGAGAGTAAGATGATTAATACACATTTCTGACCTGGGCTGATTCGTGACAGACATACGATCGACACAGCGTAGGATCGACCAGTACAGTACAAGTGGGCGGGGCATTATAGTTTTACCATTGGTCACACAGGTATCGTTCCACCTTTCTAACTGTGCAGCTCAGCTACATATTTGATGGAGATCATCTCGGAGGACCCTTTGATTGTCGCCCACCATTCTTCTTCTGCCACCAAACCACTCAAAAGGACGACCTTTGGCTCGCCAGTATTTTGAGTGCTCCCATGCCACAAAGGTATTATACACTTACACGTATTCAAGTCTTCTCAGGGACTCAAATCCGTGTCGATTTGTGCAGCAATCAGCGTCACTAACTATTTTCCTCTCTGGATGGTGGACAGGTTCGACTACATCATATCATCGTTATTATCTTCTCATTGCTTCTTGTTTTTCAAATTGCATTTGAAAAATTTAGGAATCGTTCTCAAGTATATATACAGATACTAGATTTCATCTAGTAGCATAGTTAAGGGGGAAAAAACAATATTTTGTGAAGAATTATCACATGGTCCTGTGCATTTTGTAAATAGTGAGCATGTCCAGCTAGCAACTGCAGGATGCGTAGTTCGAATCCCGGCGAGGATCTAATAAATATCTCTCGTTTCCCTGACTTAGAAATCGTATAAAATTTCTTTATAGTGGCATCCGAAGTAAAATTGTGATGAAAGATACTTTATTAACATTTGGATTTAGTCCACTTGCTTTTGTTACTCCACAGTTATATTTTATGCGGGGAAAAATGCAAAGAATTACCACATTCTTCCATGCATGTAATTAATTAACGTGCCCAGCAAGAAATTATTGAAAAAGCATTGTGCTTGAATCCTGGCGAAGGGGCAGTTCAATTTTTACGATTCTTGTTCTGAAAATTGTAATCATCTGCGAAATTTTGATCCAGCAGCTATCATTCCTTCTTTTCATAGTAGCTATTCATTTCTTATCTGTTATACGTTGCAACTACGTCTATGCAGATTCTAAATAAAATTCAGTGGTCCATTTGAAGCTTATCAAATAAATTGAGATTACATTTAATTTTTTAAGTTAGAATTAAAGGTATAATTAGACAGAAATGCATTTACATCAGATAAGTTGTTACTGATAAATGTCTTACTTAACTTTTAGTAGGTATTGCCATTGTAAGTATTTGGTATCTAAACTGCAATTTGCAAGTTATAGATTTTTTTAGTTTGTATAATTTGTGCAGCGGTAAATACAAATTACCATAAAGATACAGTTTACTTTCCTACCAGTTACAGTGAATTTCTGTTAAGGCGAAACCCTTATCTAGACATTGTCAGAATAGCTATACTTACTAATACTTACTATTCTGGCACTAAATGTATGAAATAGTGAAGTCGTAATTCTACGAAAGAGCAGAAGAGCAGCACATCGATCGTAAATTCAAAATTATGCAAAATTCAATCTTATAGAGGAATTGGTTCTATAGAAACATTTACTATAAATTATCTGTCGGTTTAAGGTTGACGTTTGTCTCTTACTGTTCACCGGTATCTTTAAAAGTAAACCGAGTTTCAAAATCTTGGTTTTGTTTGTACATAACTGAAATTAGAAAAGGAAAATAAAGTTGTTTTTAGAACTAGAATTTATAGATTATATTTGATTACCTATTGAAGAATGGGTTTTCTCCATTACTTCGCATTCGCTATAAGACAGTTGCCTTATACTTCTGGCGGATATATTCCGTTGGCGGAGACTCTTCTTTCTGTAAATATTCACTATGTGCCATGTCAGTGAGGCTCCCACGCATGAAAAACACTGAAAAAACGGGAAAATATTAGAACAATAAATTGCAATTATGTATTTTGATATGCAATATGCATTAGAATCATAAAATATATCTGGTGTTATTTACTCCATATATTACTCATTGAATTAATCTCCATCCTTGACATCAAAATTCATCAGAACTCCACATTACAAAGAGAAAATTATCTTAAGCAAGAACTTGCAGAAGGTTCCAGAGCTCAATGTTAGATGGTAAACGAAGAAGAATCGTGCTCCACGAATTTATATTTTATTACATGCAATAATGATCAATCAGTAGATTACAAATTACATGAATTAAAAAGTTTATGAATTACATTATTTAGTTATTAAATTAAAAGAGTGGTACTGAGTTCGCAAGAAAGTAATTTCAGCTTGCACAAAAATACCGTTATGTTCGTTTTCTTATTCTTCTAGCAATTTTATAATTTCTTTTGAGATTTGGCAACTGATACTTTTAGGTTGCTACAGGAACAAATTCCATGTGTGTTTATTTACAACTGTTAGTTTACAATCGATGTTAACATGCGGTGCAAAAATAAACATTTTCAACATATTTTAAGTTTTTTTCATAAAGGCAAGAAAGCGGCTAAGGCTTGCAAAGAGATAAGTGAAGTTTATGGTATTGATTGCATATCAGAACGCATGAGTCAGAATTGGTTTAAAAAATTTCGTTCTGGAGATTTTTCACTTGAAGATGACCAAAGTTCTAGCCGACATTCTGAAGCCGAGATGGCAAAATTAAAGCCATAACCGAGTCGAAACGTCAAATAACTGTGCGATAGATTGCAAAAAAGGTATCACAAGCAATAATTAAAATCACTTAAGATACCTTGGACTCGATAAGAAGCTTGATATTTGGGTTCCCCATGAATTGAAAGAAATTCACTTAACACAGCGAAACAATATTTGTGATATGCTTTTCGAACGCAATGGACCCTTTTTTGAAACGAATTATCACTAGTGAAAAAATGGATTGTCTACAATAACATTAACCATTAACCAAATAAGATCATACTACAAATACAATCAATCAACACAAATTATATCGAAAGCCAAAAGAGCTTGCATCAATTTTTTGTGGGGGTTATAAAGGTGTTATATATTTTCAGCTGCTTCCAAGCAATCAAACAATCAACTCAAATGTTTTACTGCCAACTACTTATGAAACTGAAAGAATAAATCAAAGAGAAAAGGCAAATCAATCAAAGAGAAAAGGCAAATCGCAAAAGAATCGTGTTCCATTACGACTGTTACGTAATGACGTCAATAAACTTTGGGAGATATCCACGAGACTTTGTTTTATGAATAACTTTGTTGAATGAACACGATACGTTGTTTTATGCATCCTTTTTTGTGGATGGCATCAGTTTTCGGCGTTGCCATGCACGTTTTGATCCGTGTTTGCTTAGTGATATAAGCGTTCTATCAATTTAATGTATTAATTAAATTGTATATTGTATTGTATTTGTTCTGTTTATTGAATAATTTCCTAGTAAAGAATTCTCGCTTTAATTCAAGGAAACTGTGAAGCTGCTGATGTCAAGTATGAATAAAATTGTTATTCGTCAAGAAGCATGTGCAGAATCCAAGTAGATAAAATTTATTTCTTTTTTCTATAAATATTGAAAGTATAAACAGATACTCTAATAGTAGACTCACTGTGTCTAATTATTATTAATGTTTATATACGCATATTAAGAGCCTGTGTAGAACAACCTTTGACGGGTAGTCTCGGCGTAGTTCTGATTTTGGTCTTTGAATTTTCGTAACAAGTGGCGTCCGCAACAAGATGCAGTGAGGTTTTGGGAAAAGTGCAGAATCGCCCACTGCTTGGCGCGTTTTTAAGAATTGCTCTTACTTGGTATCCATGCGCACATCGACCTATTTTCACTTGAAAAAATCCCAGAATTGCACAAAAATGGCATTGCGTACTCCCTTGGTTTTATCCATGTACACATCGACCTAAAAAGTTAAAGAAAATTGACAAAAGTCCAATTCTTCTTACTCTGGTTACTTTGGTGCGGCATCCAAACCACATTCGTTCTCGGTATTTCTTCGAGGCGGTCATTTTCAGAGGTATGAAAATGTGCTTCATCAGAATGCTCGGCATACAACAATGTTGCAGAATTACGTGATTTCAGAATTGCAGCGGCGAAATGTAGTTGGGGACACAAGACGGTGCTCCTGCACACATCAACACATGTGTTCGGCAAGTTGTTGCAACAATATTTTGGAGACAGAGTCATCTCTCTTTGCAGTTTCGTGGCCATCGCGATCCTGCAACGTCACTCCGAAGGATTTCTGAATCTGTGGTTATCTCAAATCTGACATGTACTACATATGAAATCCACGAGGTTTGTCAGAACTGAAAGATGCCATAAAACTTTATATTATATAACTTTATAAAGTTATACAGAGTCCTTCTACGATGTTACGATCATCATTGTTGTCAACAATCTCCTGCATGCAGTGCGTGAGTCCTACGTAGTACTTCAGTGCGTTATAGCCAACGAAGGTGGGCACATTGAAAACCTGTAATTAAAATAAAAGTCTTTTCCCATCACCTTTGTCTTGTGTTATCATTGGTCCTTTAGAATGCTCTTCTTTGCAAAAGTATTACACCGGCATTTTTCGTCATATGCGTATCGTTCAAAAGCCATTTATAGTTTTCTGATGTGGAAAAAGTGGATGCTTCGAAATTCGAAATGTTTTCTCTATAACCGTAACCATTAGACCTCTGTTGTTTTAAATCATCACAATCTCGAGTACATATCTTCAAATAACAATATCTGAAACTTCACTTTGATTGGTTAAACGGATAGGCAGCTAGAGGTTCATCTATCAGGAAGCTTTTTTATGACCTCCAAAAACGCTCTCCAAAATTAAAAATATTTTCATTTTAACATAGCTTCACTAGAACAGATGAATGAATGCCTTTTAATTAGTTTGCCTGTGACAGTTGTCATACAGTTTTATTATTTGTATTAGAATTCTGAAAATGCTCTTGCACGATTTGGAATCACAGAGAAAACACAATAATTGGCATTTTCCTTAATTTTCTGCTTCAAAAAACGTCACTAGCTGAAGTCAATGGCTCGTTTAACTGTGTGGAATTTTACAATGTCATTAATTATTTTCTCCTCGGTTGCATTTCTAACTACCAGTTTTACAATTTTTTAACACCTTTTTTTCAGGCATTGAAAGAAAATTATTTATCTGAAAGTAGAGTTTTTTTAACCAGTGCAAGAAGTAAATTAAATTTTATTTCAGAGAATATCATGTGTCGTTAAGCTCAAATAAATACTAAAACGGAATGAATTTAGTCGTAAATATATATTCTTCAATTGTACCTATAGTCCTCAGTTTATCACTTTCTAGCTTGCCTGTTTTGAAATTTTGTATTTAAATTTGTCAAACTAAATTTTTCAAACTCAGAGCCACGCCAGATTTAGAAAAGGTTTGCCAAGAAGTGAAATAAGATACCTTAATTTTAGTTATAAATTTCTTACAACTTTCTTTCGTAAAACAATTTGTAATATTTAGCACTTTGAATGAAAATTGAAAATATACCTCATTAATCTGAATATAAGACGGCTTTGCATTTTTGAACCCCTCTTTTTTAGCGCAAGTAAAATTTGATTTGTTTACATAAAAGGCAACAATACTCGTTTTAACTCGATAACTCAGAGGAAGAAAAATAAATAAATAGCTAAATGCCATTTGATATAAAACTTTGCATGCATATTCTTTTTATTTAAAGAAGTGAAAATTATGATAGCTTAATATATTTTTTAAATGTATAAGGTTTTAAGTTTTTCTGTATTGTAACTTGTGTCCAACCGTTCTGCGGAACACTTAATCGCGAAGTAAGAACATGAACTTGAGAAGGGTGTAAAAAATCCTTTATTTTAAAACTAAATAAGATGAAAAAAAGGCACTAAGGGTACTTACAAGTCTGTTAGCATTTATAGAAGCCAGAGAAACGGAAAGTAGAAATTCGAATGTAAAGCTAAATTTAAATAACTAGGAGCCAAAGGCTACACAGAGCAATTTAACGCGAAGTTAGCTCAGAAACTTCACTGGCGTGAATTTAACTATCTGCAACTATAATGCTGGGCGGAAGGCTGGAACTCGTATCTTACAAGAAGCAAACCTACTAAGGTGGCCATCAGAAAGCATAACGCTCTAACTTAAACAGTCTCAAAACCTCACTTTATATACACGAAAACTCATTTGCATTCGAGCAGGAAGACGGAAAGAGAGAAGTGACTGTATAGATTAAAAACGTAAACTAACTAGTTATTTAAATTAAAGAAATCTGACAAATGTAGGGAAAATATATATGATACCTATTGAGAGAGGGAAAATGACTTATATTAAGATAAAAACTATTGTCCTCTCGGTAGATAAGAAAGCGTATATTTTTAATTATTTATTAATGCGAATTAATTTTAATGGGAATGATTAATCTAGAAACTTGATTGTAATTTTTTCTTGACATTCGAAATTTAAATATCTCGGTATTTCCAAATCAAATTGCAACTTTAATCTTTGTGGGTATCCTGGATTATTTTCACTAAGCAAATTTCTGAAGACTTGCGGTTAACTCGAATGTTTATATGTATATATAGAAGAATGAACCTATCTTCCATACCAAAGAGTTACAATCCATTAAGAAGTTAAATTACCACCTGCCAGGCTATTATTTAAAACTACTTTTTTCATATTTACGTTATTCTAGAGCTTTAAATAAAAACTCATTTAGCATGTATCCTCAAAAAAGAGAGAAACTGTATATTGCTAATAACAGTAGCGTACATATATGGCGCAAGTTGTAATTTTGCTCTACAGATACATGCTACTGTTTATTCTATATCATCGACTGAGAGAAAAACATGAATCAGCATTTTCGTTCCTCAAATCACAAACACGGAAGAAATCAGTAGTACCATTTTTTTATCTTTATTGAGCACGACCACACGTTTCAGCGATTGCACTAGATGTGCAATAGAATCGTTTACCAGGATGGGTGGATTGAATGAAATGGACCCATTCCATGGTTTTACGAAACTTTGATCGCATCCAATAGGATCGTTTTTGAAAGGGAAGAAAATGGATCATTTGAGAAAACACTTAGGGTGAAAAGATTCAGAGTAATTGTGAATCTAAAGGAAAAAACTATGGCAGCGTTCGCAAGCATTTACTTACAGCGTTCCTCCAAAGAGGATAAAGGGTTGGATATCATTTCCAAGTGCGTCATATTGTTAATAGCACACACGTAGAAACAAAGCAATGGTTTTCTGAACCTAAGCCAGCTAATAGCTAAACTAAAAGTATTACGCAACATATTTTGGTTTACAGCGCAGAGTAGAAAACACGCATAAAATAGGACTAAATTCCACCATTATGCTTTGGATACGCTATATTGCTCATCAATTTTTGCATGCAATATTAGAAATCCCAGGCTATTCAATGATCTGCGTTGATAAATCGATACGATTTGGATGATTATGATTGTAACGGTTCGTCCATGATTCGAGATTATCTACATATGGATTCTTATTCAAACCTTCATTTTCTGATACATCATTTCTCAGATATGAACTTTTATGAAACTGTGATGCAGGTAAAAACTTACTGCTATATTTTTCGACATTAAAGTTACTTAAATAGTGTATTTATTTATTATATATTTTTCGATATATAGTTGTTTAATCGAATATCCAAGATTTATTTACTTTTATTTTAAATTGACTTTTATGTTTCTGCATTCAATACTTGTAATGCAAACCGGCAGCATGGCTGATTACGTCGTAGGATTTTAAAATTTAGAGACCTCTTAATTGGTTTTATATGTAAAAGGTCACAATAATTGCGGATATCTGAAATTCATAGTGATTCTTAAAAATGAAAATTTTATCCTGTTTATGGAGTAAAAAAGGCCGAAGTCTCTGTAAGTCGCTTCTAAGAATAAAACTGAATTTTAGAATGTACTTCGTAGTTTACGTGATTTTAAAACACAAATCGCTTACTTTGAACAACAATAAGCACATAATGTATTTTGATGATTATTCTATTCTATGTATATTTATTACTATTAGAGATATTAAGTGATGATTTAGAATAGAAAGTTCAAATAAATTGAGTTCTTTCACTAAATACGGTAAAATTAGTTCTGGAAGATAAAATCTATTAGATAGTTTTTTCTCTTATGTACTCAGCAGATATTCACTGTTAGCGTTCTCTTATGCATTATGTACCTCAGCAGATATTCACTGCTAGCTATCCAAATGCAACATCATAAAAATCCAGAGATTTAATAAAAACTAATGTAAGGTGTAAGGGTGAATTAAAATTAACTAGTAATAACTGCTGCGACAAGCAGCAGGAAAGGAAGGTGCTTTAGATATGTAACTAGATATGTCAGTTCATGCTTTTTTCAAAATTTATTTGGCATACCCGCAGGCGTGGATCATTCGTCTGCCAATCATCAAGCAGATATATTCAGTGGGCGACATATTGGAATAATGGGTAGGTTCAGGCAGAAAATACCACGAGCTGGTGGACTATGAAGAACTACTAAACGTCGTGTGACACGTGAGATCACACGTTACCGAGTTGAAACGTAACCACTATGAGCCCGGTGCCACCAGTTTCGGACATATATATCGATCTGTAGTTGTCTTTAAATTAAGCCATTCATTTCTTCATATTCAGGGTTCTTACTCCCTGGGGGTCGAAGCAGAGAACTGTGTGAGATTACAGTCTAGGATCTGTACCTAGGCAGTCTTGGCCACGAGGGTATAAAATCATTGAGCTTGGTGGTTCACCGTGACCTGTGGGTGTTCACGCGTAAAACCGTCCCCGTTCATTCGGGTGACCCACAGGGTGAGGTGTTGTAAGCCTCGTGTTAGGTCCGTGCAAGGGATTCAGGTATTCCGCGTAGTACTGGCAGGTAGCACTTTCAACGGCCAGTCAGGTCTCTAGGCGTGCATGTTGCGCGCCACGGTGAACCCTGAGAATCGGGAGTGGTGATCCCGCGAGCCCAGGAGGTAGACGTGGTTGTAGAGAAACTTTTAAATTCTACCACTTCAGATTTCGAGCCCGGAGTGGTAGCATGATCAGCGTACACTTCTAACTCTCTCGGGGACATCGACTGTCGACCCAGACCCTTGGCTAATATGGGGTTTCTCAGTTGGGACTAGTCCGTGTAGTGTATCATTGCAGCTGTGTATTGTGCCAATAGACCCTAAATTTGGTAGGACGGTTCTTGACCCTGTTGTGCAGTCCGTCATTAACGCTACTGTGGCTCTATTTTTTCCAACACCAGTATCGATTTCTCAGAAAGATAATATCCAATCTCTATAAGTCACAGTTCTTCTAGTTAACTCAAAAAGTTGCCGGAATGACTGCGTGTTTTGTGTCTATACATTCTGTATTTTACAATGTAAATGAATAATGATAAAACAAATAACTTCAGTATTTATAATAGCCTATTATTATCCCTTTTTATAAATATTTTTAAGGGGTATTTATGGAGAATATGAGTTATGTAGGCGCTGCGATGCTACTCATTTGCAAGCTTTAACGACCACCACGCGAGATGTAATTCTGATATTTTAAGATACTTCATTTTGGATGGATAGATATAATACTTAACATTAAATCCTTGCCGAACTCGAATAGATAATAATATAGCATAAAGTTATAGCGAAAGCAGTGATAATGAAGATGATAAAGCTCGTTTACTTTGCTAGAATAAAATGAATTCCTAAAAATGGCTTTTGAAGAATCTGATTTTACAATGCAGGTTAACCCAAATGAACAAAGAACAGGACACTTCATGAAAGGCATTGAAGACACTTTGAGTTTCTTACTGCAAAACCTTGAAGAGTTGAGTCAATCATCGTTCGAAGCAAAAGTCACCAATGTTTAAAAATATTTTGAATAAATATTTGTTTTGTTTTTCCCTTTTAATTACAGAAATAATTCGGTTTGTTTAAATTACACATATTTTATTAATCTAAATTTATAACTAATACATTTTCCCATAGAATGTCAACTTTGCGTATAGCGACGTTAAAAGTACGCGCAATGTATTAATTACGTAACCCCCGAGATCTGCAAGGGTTTAATGTTCTGTAGAAGATATCAGTAAACATACTACTTTGTGAATCTAATGTTAAAACTAATTAATGCAATATCGATTTCATATTTTATTAACTCTTTTATTATGGAAGTAAAAATATTAGAAATTTTTCAAGTATTTGAGTTTTATATAAATTGAAAATTCATTTTCTAAAAAAAAAAAAAAAAAAAAAAAAAAAGGAAAAAAGGAATTATTCTGTTCATGCATTAACAAATTTCAATCCGACCTGCAGTTAAGATATTCAAAAACTGTTCGTTAATACAAATACTAGGACAAATTATTCTTTACCACTGTTACCATTTAAATATTTTTATATCAATTTATGCTTCATATAGAGGAAATAATTCTAATGCAAGAATATGGGCTCGTCAAGAAGGCGTTTTATCAGTTTCTGAAATATCCAAAACACAAAGACATTTTATAAAACATGCACATCGAACATTTTCTACATACTGGTACTTGCATATACTTCTGTGTGATGTTTGTAAAAGACAAAGCCATAAAGCAAGGAATTTTATTTCCCATTTGAATATATTCTCATAGTAGATTGTGGCGCACATATTTTTCTCTTTTACTGCAAAACTAAAGTTTTTCATATTCCTTCCCTACGTGTAGACTAACCCCCCAAAAAAAAACAATACTCATGCGCAGCTGAATAGAAACATGAATAAATACATACAAAGATAAAAGAACTTATAAAGATATACGATATTTTTATGCAAAAGCTTTTATGAAAACATATAGAAAACATTTAGAAATCTTACATGAAAAAAAATATTTAATAAATAACTGAGAGACGTAGAATAGTGCTTTATGAAAAAAAAGGAACATTCAAAAGAGTTTAGATTTTAGCATTAAAAAAGGGGAAAATTATTCATCAAGGAAACCAATTAAATTTCACCGAATGAAAAAACTAAAATAAACTGACAATCATTTTGAGAGTTTAATAGAGTAATATTCTCTACGTAACAAGATGGAAAATTATTAGAAAGAAATATAATTAAAAATTGGCTCATTTATTTTTTATTAATACTTTTTATCCTTATAATGTGCATTATAAAAAAAACTCTGAAAGAATTTTTTATTAGAGGCATTATCAAAATTGACTTTGTGCTGTTTTAATTCTTATACTCGTGAGAATAACTTCCTAATTGCAAAAGAGGGAAAAAAAACATGTAAAGTAAGATCTATTCACAAAAATCTTTCTTTTACGATTTATTATAAGCTAATACATGTAAGTACAATAATTGAAAACAAAAAAGCCAATTTCATAGAAATAATTGAAATAGTAAAACCTTTTAAAAATAAAAAGAAATCAGATACTTACCTAAATTGATTTCAACTGATAAGGCAAATGATGTAACACATGGAATTTTTTATGCATATATGAACAGAATTCCTTTTAAGCGAAAGTTTGATTTTAAAAAAGAAATGCATGAAACATTTACACTTTCTTATATATTTATTTTACAGAATGTTTAGAAAATTATTTAATTTGCAACATAGGAAAAATATTCCATAATTAAATATCCTAATTAAAGAGGTAGGACACTAAAGCATAAAAATATCTGTGCTTGCTTCATTCCAGAATGCTCTGCATAAAATTTAATGTCGTTGAAAACATAGCCGAAGCTCCAGCGCATCGAACGTAACAACTAAAGATATATTAATCAGCCAAACTCAATTTTGGACAGAAAATTTATAATGGGTTTTGATTGCAGCTCATCATCACTGCTGTAACAATGGCTTCTCCCAAGATTTCAGACTTATTTTCACAAATTTAAATAATCCGTGACATAGAAATAAAAGACATTTGGTGGGCAAATCGACAAATAGCTCGGCATTTTGGTTCGAACGATGAAGTGAATAGATGATACAGACGGGAATGAAGCTGAGATCACTTTGGGGCGGTGACGTAAAAATCAGAGACACAGGAAACGCTTTCCGTATACGTCAGTTCACATCGTGCAGACATTTCCTTTTCAAAGTTTGTCATAGGTGCACACTAGAGGCTGTTCTTATCGGAAACTTGGGGGGGGGGAGAGGGGAATATGCATTTCTGAGAGGTATTTTGATTTCTACAGTTATATTTAAAATTAAAATCGATCTGTTTCTGCAAGGTCGAAACTTTTTGTTTTACGTACAAGGAGAAGCACATTGTGGTTTTTAGACCGATATATGAGAGACGACTGCAGCTTGGAGATTCAAATGAATTAATTGAGAAGATGCGCTTGAACGTCATCGAAAGTTTTTTTAATTATCTTTTGCATGAAGCCTCATCAATTCGATGAATTTCTAGCCTTTGTTTAATTAGTGTTATATTTTTTAGATAAGTTATCCAAAAGCAGAACACTAATTTTCGTCAGAATATCCCAGAAAAGTATTGTTCGAAGGACAGGAATAGGTATTTCTCCCACCATCTTACCATGCCTTCGTGGTGTAGTGGTCTGCATGCTGGACGCGTATTCCAGAGGTCCGTGGTTCGACTCCCGGCGAAGGCATTGCTTATTTTTCATGATTCCTGCTACCTCAAAAATAACTAATGTCTTTACAGTGGCGCCCGAACTAAAAGGGTGGTGGATGATGATTTTCCACACCCAGAATTTGGCGATTGGCTCCCTTAAAAACCCCAGCCGCCATTTAAAAGGGGGAGTATATAAGGTATTTCTTCCGCCTTCTTAACTTGCCTTCGTGGTGTAGTGGTCTGCACGCTGGGTGCGTATTCCAGAGGTCTGCGGTTCGATTCCTGGCGAAGGCTTTGCTCATTTTTCATCACTTCTGCTTCCGAAATAAACGTAATGTGTCTACAAGGTTACCGAAAAATGAAATGTTGTGTATGTCTAATATATTTTATTTATGAATATTGTTTAATCAAATTAAAATTCGTAATTGATATAAAAATAATATAAACATTTTAATTGATAATTAAAAATTAATAGATAAGAATGAATTAGCTCAAAATTCTTAATTAAATATTTCGTTTTCAGAGAGAAAATGTTTTGTATGATGTGTGTACTTAACAAAATTTGCTTAATTAATGTAATAAAAAAACTTGCATTCTGTTTTAATCTGCGTAGAACTTACATAGTTTCCAAATATCGTACTTAAAGGGAAAAAAAAAGTTTTGTTTTAAATGTAAAATTTGATAAGGAAGGGAAAATATACAAAATTATTAAAACATATTTTCTGTCGTTTGTACATATGATTTTATACTTAAATATAACTGTAATTACTTCAGTTATTCAATGATTCATATAATAAAAAGCTTCACTGTCTGAACTTTTATTTTATAAAGCCGCTCTTGTATAAAATGCATTGAAGTAACTGTATTTTATACATTATTAAGTATTTTATAAATTATTTATTTTTCTGTTTTGAAAACTGAATTCCACTGTTAGAAAATTTGCTAATGCTCATGCAAGTGTATTCAAATTAAAATGTAATCTTAAATGAAGTATTGAATAAAATAAAACCCTTCTTCAAATCTTGGAATTTTATTTTCTTTATTAGAAATTTCCTAATATAAATTTGTGCCTTCAGAACCTCTGCAACTCAGATTAATTTATATATTTATATTTTAAAATGCCATATGTTGTATTCATTACTCATAACAATTTCACTTTTTCGCAAATTACCTTACACATTTTCTATATTAAATGCGGTAAAGTATTTTGTCCACAATTATTTTTGGAAAACATTTGAAAACATTAAAAAAATTAAACTTATATTATTCAATGCAATAGGCTTGTTACTGACGACATTTTCCAATGATCTATCTCATTAATTAATAATCTCTTCAAATTCTTTTAAACGTGACTGATGGATGATTTACTTAGACATCTAAATGTTAAATGAAGGATAAGTAAATACCATCAAATTTAGGAAAGTAATGTTTGTGTGTAATTTTCATTTCTAGAATTTGATAAGCAAATTTTTAGGTGTGCTCTTCTGTAAAGAAACTCAGTTGTGTTTTAAATTAAAAACAGTAGCTTGTAAAATATTCTGGAGAATGTAGAAGTCTGTCGTAAAGTTCTGTCGTCGTTCAATGTAAAATATTCCATGACAGCCCTCTGATCGCAAGCTCGAAGATGTCATGCCGTAGAAGGTCACAATAATTACTTGACCTGGCTAGGAACTAAGACACTGTTGTCATGCGGAAATGGGTCCTCACAGATAAGAAGATATTGCTTCTTTCCTACCGAAAGAAAAGCAAGCAAAAAAAAAATCTTTATCTGTTTAGCAGCTAATATATGATAATCATATGCTGACAGCAAGGCCTATTCATCTTTAAAATTATACACGTGAAATGATTTCAGATCCTTTTCAAAAGACCAGATATTTTACTTTTCTCCGAATGAATGCTTAAGGCAAGCACGTTGTATCATAAATATTTATGAAAAATTTAACTCAAACTTTTAACTATACATTTAACTGTGTCAGGTATTACAAGTCATTCATACAAAACTTTTAAAGTGTGGATATATTTATCTTTTAGCTTATGGGTGAGAAGAAAATTTCATGGAAGTTGTTCGCACTAGTTGTAAATATCTGCTTCCAAAAATGTTACCATTTCCTTCCATTTATTTAAAAGAAAATATACTACAGAAATTCAAACCTTTTCCATTTGATAAGACTTACAGAGAAACAAGAGCTGGCCGGATGAAACATTCGAACCTACCTTCTGAGTCTATTGAATGAGGAATGATATCCGGGCCTTTTTCACTTGCATCTTGGCTTTCTTCCAGCTCCTTCTTCGGCACTTCGCATCTGCAATTCAATGAGCGTGAAGAACAACTTTAAATGCAATACTTTCCAAAAACCGTGCAAAAATATTCAGCTATATAATTTGATTTAGGGACTCATTAATTTTTCTCTTCGATGCATTTCCGAATGGTCGCAAAACCGCGAAAAGAAAGTGAATAAATATAAGAAAAATTCTCTTCGAATCCAAGGTGCAAACGCTGTTTGAATTCAATTTTTCCAAGTAGTTTTAACTTTTTTTCCTCCTCTGGTACAAGTAAGGAGAGTAAAATGTTTTATTAAATTTCCCCGTTACTTTGTTATGATTTTTCTGAGTTGATTTTCACATATATCTTAAAATTGCATTGGTATTTCGTTTCGAAACAGTGGTAGTAAAGACAAAAAAATTCGAAAGTTTGCGCTAGAGCGTTTAAGTGAACTAGAAACTCTTAAGAGCATATGGAATGTTCAATTTTCGGAATGTTTCTTGAAAAATACGAAATTTCTTTCTCAGACTTGGTCTAAAAATATCTTCTAATGAATTAGAATAAATGGTTTCTTTCGGCAAAATTGTTTAAGCTCGGGTATTACTAATTTGTTATTTGTGTTTTCTATTTCATTTTCACCTGCAGTTATAAGAAAAATGCAAAGGGGTATGAATAACAAATACTATACAGCATTTCTTCGCTGGTCTTTTAATGTAAACTTCCATATTTAAAACACATGCACACATTTATAAATACAGTAATTTGTGATGCATAATGGTTTACAATTACATTAATAAAAAATAAATTTAATATTTTTCACATTTGATGCAATTACTAATTATTTTCAATTACATCCCACCTGGAATTGTTTTTAAATTTAATTGTTCTTTCACGGAATGGCACTTCTAATTTTCTTAATTTTTCATACGAAATTTTAGAAATTAAATACATTTAAATCAAATATTAAAACATGACATCATTTGTAATGCATATTCATAAATCTAATGTTTGAGACACTGTCTGCATCCAGATATCAAAGTAATTATTCTCAATTTTAATAAAAACGCATTTAATTAATATAGAAATTTCAAAATTAAGAAGTTTAAGGAAATCAGAACAGTTCCAAGTTTATGTTTTATGGAAAGGGTTTATAAAAAGCAATTCCATTTAATAACTATAATTAAAATAAATGAATGACTGCAATGATCTACCAAAAATAATAATAAATAAAATTTTATGAATCTTCTCATTTGGGATCAGTGACAGGTAAGTATTTATGGCAAACAGAATTGATTATGACATTTTAACGTATTTTTCTGCATCAAATGTGAAAAATATTAAATTTATTTTTTTATTAATGTAATTGTAAACCATTATGCATCACAAATTACTGTATTTATAAATGTGTGCATGTGTTTTAAATATGGAAGTTTACATTAAAAGACCAGCGAAGAAATGCTGTATAGTATTTGTTATTCATACCCCTTTGCATTTTTCTTATAACTGCTATTAAAAGTAAATCTTTATCTTTTTATATATTTAAGATTTTGCAAACTTTCACACATTAAAATCATGCATTATGATTCTTTCCACAGAATTCATTTTCATATTTTTTATCATCAACAGCCATCCGATGATTGCTTGGAAATCCGCATGTGGCTTGGAATAAAAAATGCTACAAAATTTAAAATTTTATTCAACCAGTTGTATCAGTAGTTTCAGCTATTTTTCGATTGTCTTTCAAATTTCGGACTATTTTCGAAATATGCAAGTTTAGAACAGATGAAATAGTACTAATAAACAGGAGATGGGAAACTACGATCAAATTTCTGAGATCTTTGTAATTCATACTTCGACTGGAGTTTAGAACATACTCAAAAATACAAGCAACAGCATTTTCCAGCCTGTAACATGAGCACATTCGTTTTTTTTTAAATTCGCTACAAAAACGGTTTGCCTTTTATGCTCCATACATAACAGACATTTTGAATATTCAATTTCAGTAAAATTTCCCAATTCTCCTCTGGGTGTTGTCTTAGTTCAGCTTGGTATGAAATAGCATTCCAGTTATGTGAAGCTCAGTGAATCAACAAACAATTCTTTTACAGTTCCAATATTTATGCCTTTTAGTGGGTGATCATGGGTTATCAACATATTCAT